GTGAACTTTGTCTGAACACAATTGTTCATGCAAGTTCAAAATCTGTTTCATGAGGTATGACATGTAGCTGCAGTGCCAAGCAACTCTGGTGGGTGTAAATTTCATTATGGATTGGAGTTGTCACTTACAGTAGCAAAAAATATTTTAGTATGATAAGGCACATTTGAAAACTGGCCGAGGTCACAGAGGAAATTTGTTTGTAACCAGCTGCCATATAGGGTGCTTACTGAACGCTTGTGCTGTTTAAAGCATATGAGATGCATTCTTCAGCTCATTATTTAAAGTCCCCCTGTGGTGAAAATCAAGTGTTTATTTGTCTATGTTGTGTTTTTAATATGCTTTAAGACAAACCATGTGCAAATTCATAAGTCAAAACCGTTGCTGAGTATTTTCTCCTTAACTGCGGTGAACCAAAGACACCTGTGAAATCGCAGGTGTTTCTTACGTCACAAACTACCTTGTAACCAATCAAGTCAACGGGTGATCGTCAACGAGTGGATCTCTGAGCTGGTGTGAGTGCGTGGAGGCATAAAACCGCGTATACTGAATGAGGCAATGGTGTAGAGTTACATTCAAGCTATTGTAAGGCATGAAGAAAAAAAAATTCAAGGAAAAAACGTTTAAATATGTAATTATGGTGATCAAAGATGAGTTTTAAGGGATCAAATTATTGACTACAGGGGGACTTTAAAGTTTTACTATTATATTCTATGTTATGAAAATGCTACAAACTGAAAGTCATGCACATATTTCCATTTAACAAAACAGGTTGTCTGAATAGTGAGCAGGTTGGCGTTAAACCATCCAAAAGAGAAAAGAGTGCATTAATTTTCATTATACCATGGTCTGTTTGAATAGTTGATTCTGATGGTGGGCAATAAAACCGTTTAATGCACAGGTAGTTCCAGTCATTTTAATCACAGTCCTATATTATTTCACTGCTTTCATTGAAGCACAAATCCGCACACAGAAATCGGAGATAGCGCTACGCACACAGAGAAACATTTAGGAGCACACAAACTTATCAGTGCTGTCCGGTGACTTTTATTGATAAAATAGATTCACTACTGAATCGATACATTATATTTCTTAGCAAAGATGATTTAAAGTGGGCAGATATGCAAGATCTGCCCACTTTTATTGATAAAATAGATTCACTACTGAATCGATACATTATATTTCTTAGCAAAGATGATTTAAAGTGGGCAGATATGCAAGATCTGACGAGCCATGACTGACAAAAATAACCGTCATTTTAACTGCTTCGCATCAGGTGGTTTCTTTGCCTCCACATCGTGCATTAACATTGTTTAATGCACAGCTAGCCATGGATTATCTCTTACGTATAATATGTATTTTTGTAAATGGTTGAGTGTCAAACTTGCACCACTATTCAAAAGTTTGGTGTCAGTAACAGTCTCTCATGCTCACCAAGACTGCATTTATTTGATCAAAAATACAGTAAAACTGCAATATTGTTAAATATGTTTACAATTTAATATGTTTTCGATTTAAATATATTTTAAAATGTAATTTATTCCTGTACATTTTCAGCATTCAGCACCGTTACTTCAGTCTTCACTGTGAAATCATGATCCATCAGAAATCATTCTAATATGCTGATTTGCTGCTCAAGAAACATTTCTTATTTTTATCAATGTTGAAAGCAGTTGTGTTGCTTAATTTTTGTGGAAAAAAATTGTTTTAGGAGAAAAGAATTTAAGAAAATTAATTTATTTGAAATAAAAATCTGCTGTTACATTATAAATGTCTTTCCTGTCTCTTTTGATCAATTGAATACATCTTTGCTGAATAAAAGTGTTAATTAAATATAAAAAAAATCTTACAGACCCCAAACTTTTACACAGTAGTGTACACAAGAAATTATATTTTAGAAAAAGTAACTGTAATAGGGTTATAACTAACATTTATAAGAATATACACTACCGTTCAAAAGTTTGGGGTCAGTGAGAATTTTATTTTTATTTTTTGGAGGAAAGAAATCAATACTTTTATTTATCAAGGACAGTAAAGACATTTACAATGTTACAAAAGATTCTATTTCAAACAAATGCTGTTCTTTTGAACTTCCTATTCATCAAAGAATCCAAAAAAAAAAAAAAAAAAAACTGTACAACTGACAGACCAACAACTGTTTCAACATTGATAATAATAATAAATGTTTCTTCATTTATTTCAGCATCAAATCCTCATATTATACTGATTTGTGAAGGATCATTTGACACTGAAGACACTGACACTGGTGATGCGGAAAATTCAACTTTGATCACAGGAATAAATTACACTTTACTATATATTCACACAGAAAACAGCTGATTTACACTGGAATAATATTTAATACTATAACTGATTTTTGTTGTATTTTTAATCAAATAAGCGCAGCCATGGTTAGCAGAAGAGAATTCTTTTTAAAGTATTTAAAATCGTACCGACCCCAAACTTTTGAACGGTAGTGTATATATATATATATGTATATTATAGTAATAAGTATATTTCAGAAATAATAAAATAATACAGCTCTTTCAAAGAACAGTTCACTTAAAAATTTTCCTAGAGTATTATTTATGAAAATTTCGAACCAACGAGCTGCTACTTTAAAAGGCTGGTGATCTCAGAAAACCTGTGACAATCTACGATTCAACACCCCACAAAAGGAAAACATGATGCAACACTGAATCAATTGCAGTCATTTTCATACAGTCCCACACGTAGATGATGACGACGATGACATTTGTCATCACAATTTCCTTATAATGAGGTCTTGGTAAGTCAAATCAAGAATGAACACATCAGCTCTTTCACAGAATTGTTTCCCGACCACCTACAAAGTTCCAGTGCAACTTTCTCATTGACTATAATAATTGTCAGTGGACTACGAATTTCACAAAACATTTAGGTAATTTACAAAAACAAATATGGGGGGTTGGCAGTACATTATTCACAAATAAAAGACTTCACGTCAAATAAAGCAAAAGGGAAAAAGGGAGGCATAAGGATGACGGCTCTAATAATGTGACATGCAGCATGTGAATGTTTGTGAGAAGATAAGTATATCATGAGGGCCATGTAGCTCATGTGGTTTTTACAATAGTGATGGGAACGCTGTTATGTATGCCCATCATTTTTACCACACATACACCCACCCCCCCCACCTCCCCCTCCCCCCCCGGTTGCACCAAGGTGCTAAAACAAGCCTTCCACCCACAAACAACGAGTGTGAAATTCTGATTGTACTTGCAAAACTGGGGGAGAAGCATTTAAGGGGGAAACATATAACCACACAAGCATTTCAGTTTCTGAGCATGCTACAGTAACGCCCGCTGTGTAAACACTTAAAGCTACACAGATAAATCATAGAAGTTCTCTTTGCGTAAAAATATTTTCTTATTCATTCATTAGCATTCCATTATTTCAACATTTTATTACTTCTTTAAATGTGGCAATTGCCTTTTAATTACATAGACATTTTATATCTCTAAACCTAGTTTCCTCTAATGGTATTAACCATCTTTGTAATAGAACCTTGATAAAAATTTATTCAACAATCTAATTGCTTTCTGATACTGTCTTTTTGAAATTCAGAAAAGGTAAAAATCACACTACAAATACAAGATACTAGGCTGTTTACACCTGGTATTAACATCCGTCTCGGGTGATTCGATCAGAAGTGGTCAACCACTTACACCACATGCACTTCAAAAGCATTTCCTGTGAATGCTTGTGATTGGATTTCTTCATGGGGAGAGTCTTTCATTTCATGAGTGCATCCATTTGTAAAAGTCACTGTATCAATGTTCATTACTGCTCAAAAATTGGGGTTTGTGTGATTTTTTTAATGTTTTTGAAAGAAGTCTCTTATGCTCACCAAGGCTGCATTTATTTGATCAAATATATAAAACAGTAACATTGTGAAATAATATTACATTTTAAACCATTACTCCAGTTATCAGTGTCACATGATTCTTCAGAAATCATTCTAATATGCTGATTTGCTGCTCAAGAAACATTTCTTATTATCAATGGTAAAATCTTGTTGTGCTGCTAAATATTTTTGTAGAAACCATGATAGATTTTTTAATAGAAATCTTTTGTAAGATTATAAATGTCTTTACTGTCACTTTTGATCAATTTATGCTGCCTTCACGTGCTATCTGAAATTTCGTTGTGATTACGAGGCTGTCACATTCAAGTGCTTTCTTGTCTGAAAGAACAGGTATCATGGAGGACACCAGGTTTATTCTTGCCTATTTATTGGGAAAATCTTATTAAAGCCAAAATTATATTTAGCGTACCATTTATTGACAACCATATAAACACTTACCGCACTATCTAGATAGTGAGCTTGCTGACAATTCTGGAATTTCAGTTAAATACAGGCTATTTTTGCTGTGTATAAAACATACAATATGCTTTAGATGACCATATTCATAAATATGCGCTACTTTAACGACAAGACAAGGGGATGTAGCTGTTCTGGAAAAAAAAAGTAAATAATACCAGTCACAGCACCAATCGTTCTCCGGACAACTTGGGAAGTTGGGTATCAAAATGAACCTCGAGCTTCCCAGTGGTAAATACGACTTGAGAGGGCGTTCATGCATTTTTCATTCTGAAATTGTTCTGTTTAAACTCTATATCTATGAAATTCTACCAATTTTTTCAAGTAATAATACATTAACAGCAAATTTGAAAACCTATGTTGTTTTATCAATGGTTGATAGACAGATGAGTAGGCAATTACATATTAGCATTTACACTACAAATGCATTGTGTCACATGCCACACCTCTAAAATGTGGCTTTAGTGACTGCATTTCAAAACGCTTTGGACCTTATTTACACCTGTATTTATTTATCATAGGCCACCTGTGAGAGATGGATGTTAATACCAGGTGTAACTAACACAGTTTTGAGGTGCTTGACAGTGTGTAGGCTAACTGTCTGAGAGATGCTTTATATGTTTTTGTGCTCCTAACTTACCTCAAGCTCCTTGATCTTTTCATCTGCCGTCTTCTGCTTTTCCAAAAGCTGTTTGGTGATCTCAACTTTTGACTGTAAAATGAACCTGGAAAAAGTGAGGAGGAGGTCAAAATAATCAACAAAAAAGGTCTCATTCAGGCACAGAATTTACACCAACAGAAATGTACATACATGCGTCCTGCTCCCTCAAACATGTGAGTGGTGTCAGGGAGTGACGTGATCTCTGCATGCGTGAGGTTGGCGTGCTTCTTCATGCGGCTCAGCTGTTCGACCTGCAGGTCTGCCAGCTTCACCTTCTGCTGGGTGTCAATCATTTTAGCCTGCAACTCTACAAAGGCCTGTGGCATACAGATGAGAGGGTTGGAGTTTAGATTGAAAGAGATCTGCTGCAATATAATTAACGTGTCTCATGCCCTCAAACACATGTTAAAACATGTATATTTCTATGTGAATGAGAGTTATTACACAGGAACCCAGGAGAGGGTTGATACTACATACTATGAATGAAAGTGCAGAAATAACATAAACTTTAGACTAGAATGTCTACTTTTGCTAAAGGTTTACAATGGTAACCATAGACTTAATATAACGTAGATAGAAACAACCTGCAACAGTCAAAATACAAAAAATTTTTTAAGAAAATGACAGACATATTTTGATAAGCCTCTTACACAATTTTATGTATGTATACATATTAATTTACAAAGGGTTTACATTAGTTGCTAAACGTGTAAAACGATATTTTGACTTTATACCAAAAGTAAAAAATAAATACAAAAATTAAAAGGCTTCTTGTGCACCGAGGTTACATATTGCCATTTCACATTGTTTTTACAGTTCCATTCCAAAATTCTGGTCTACCTTGGTTTAAAAAATACCTTTATTCGCTATTTTATCATGACCAAGTAATAAACCCGTTTAGTTTCTGTGAATAAACCTGTAAACCACCGTTTACCTTCTTCAACTCGAGGTCTACGGGAGCCGCCATGATGCTGAGAAAAGAAGGAGTCACCGCGCATGCGTGAAACAAAGAGCTAGTTGCAAAAGTGAGAGACAGAGACCTACATAGACAGCATTTTCGGTTTCGAAATATCAGCTGATGGGCAAAAATGCTCTCTAGATAGGCAGCACGGTAGGATTTTAGGCACTACCTCAATCTCAAAATAGTGCAGCCCAGGAATAACAGTGCACGAGTTATTAAATGTATAAGACTTTCATATTTAATGTTTATGTGTAATGCTGTTACAAAGCAAAGTCACACATGGTTGCTTACAATACATATACAATACATACTGCCTTTTCTATTTTTACAGTTTATTTTGCACTACTTCTAGAATGTTTCACCTGTGCAACATTGCTAGAGAAAATATTTGTAATTGTCAACATGTTGTTTTGTCTTGTAAAGTCATGTGTGTTCTGCATTGTGGATCCTGAAGACTTCTGCCCTGTGGGAGATAAACTACAGTAAACCAACTTTGGACTTGAGCATACTAAACAGAATGAGTATATCAGATGTATTCATAACATTTCTTTACTCACCCCGGTGACCCCTCAATAATATAACCTTTCAACATGTACATAACCAACATATCCCTACTTAAACTTAAAGTACTAAAATAATATATATTGCACAAGTTTACAAATATGCTGCCAGACCTGCATCTTTCCCAGTTTCCAATATAAACAGTAAAAACATGATCACAGACTCACAATGTGACAATAATTGTTTATTCAAGTCAAACAACAGTAATATCATTGACAGAAAATGTTTGGTTATCATTGCTTGAAATTAGTAAATTAAATTGTGTTATTTTGTTACACATAGTACTTCAAAAGTGCTTTGATTAAAATTCTCGATTTTATTTCACTTAATTTAAGCTACACTTTCTCAGTAATACATATAAAAGACCTACAAAGCCCTGCCTCTGACAATCCTCCATTTTTAGAGCTCTGTAAATCAGTTTTTCACAGTTTAGCTGTAATATTATTGAAACCTTATTGGAGAGTTTTCCATATGTGATTGTAAAGTCTGTGATGCAACTTCAGTCCTATCAGAACATTATTTGATTGTATCTATCGATAATAAATATTCATACAATAAAAACACATTTACAAAACTTACAGTGTATTCAGTACACAAAATCGTTACGTATCAAAATAAATAACTAATATATTATAAATAAATAATTACAAATGCTTTGTGGCGTTTCTGACAGTACTATAGATTCAGAATGATGGGATAAACCAGAAACACCTATTTTAAAAATAAATAAATAAGCAACAAACAAAAAAGCAACTTGATTGCCGTTGCAATACATTCATCCGGTTAAGTCCTCTCTGTATGTTCCCCAGGTGGAAGAACATTGTTCTGTACAAGGAAGCAGTGTTCAAAACGTCCTTCATGCCAATGTTGACAGCCACCATAATCGCAGGACATCAGGTATGTAGGATCCATTTGAAAGGAGAGAAAGAATTTTTGAAAAGTAATGATAACCAGTGGAAAAATGTAGAAATGATGCCCCTGCTCCTCAGCCATAATGCTATCTATCCATGGGTCACGTGTTGTTTTGACTTTCTTCATCCTGTAAAACAACAATCAATATTATTAAAAATATTATATAAAGAATTATAATGTATGCATGTATATATATATATAAAGTGCTGTCCAATTGATTAATCACATCTAACATAAAAGTCTTTGTTTACATAATATATTTGTGTACACTGTATATACATTATCATATATATATATATATATATGTGTGTGTGTGTGTATACGTACGTTGTACACACATAAAATGTTGTGTTTAAATATGTGTGTGACATATCTATACACACACACACAAACTTTTAATGTTAGATGCGATTAATTGATTTGCCAGCACTAATATATATATTTTATATTTAACAAATAATGGACAAATTTGAGCATTCATTGAGAACTATTTACCTTTCTTTCCTTATCACTACTATATTGACATTGCCTCAAGTTTGACCTTTTCTTCACTTGCTACATCAGCATCATCTTTTTTGTGGAACCTGTAAGAACAGAATGCTGAATATCTTAGGAAGGTTGTCAAATATTAACATTTTAATGATTGAGAATAATACAAAGCTGATTCATGGTAACATACCTTAGTGCCAGCAGAATAGCAATGATTGCGAGACACATGAGGGACAGAACCACTGCTACGACAGCTAGAGCTGTGGTCCTGCTGTAACGCTGTTCCACCTTAGCTGATGGTAGGGTGAATAAATGACATCGCTCCCCTGAATAACCTGCTTCACATCTGTAAGAAAGATCATTCAAAAGTTCAAAATCAGTGCAACTGGAGAGAGATCTGTTCATTTAGATTCTGTTCCTATTCTATAAAAGCAATAATTCTGTTGTCTATTATTGTTCTACTCTTCTCTAATTTTGTGCTTCTGATCTATTGTTGAAACTGTATATTGTATCATTGCTGATATTGTTTGTTTCTTATGATTAACCGCATGTCTTTTAATCTTTCCTCATTTGTAAGGTGCTTTGGATAAAAGTGCCTGCTAAATTAATAAATGTAAATGTCAAGCCTTTGCTAAATAACTATCAGGAGGAACGACAACAAAAGGTTTTCAACAAAAGGTGGAAGAACAAACGCACTGCATGAAACTCACACACAAGAATGAATGTGCAACTCCCTCAGATGCTGACACACTCCATGAATGCAGAAATCTTTGTATTCCCCGAGGCAGGGGTTCTTCTTTCTCCCCTTGCCTTTTCCTTTGCCCCTCCTTTTTCCTTTTCTTGTCTTCTTCTCAGTTGTGGGCATCACCGACGGATGTTTGGATTTGGTGGAAAATGCCACTGTTGAGCAAGAAAGGACAGTGATGTCAGTTTGTGATGATCTAATATCTAATAACAGGTCTTACACACTCATTTAATACATTTTTTTTTTTTTTTACATTCATTTCATGCAGAAGTACATAACACTTAGTTTTATTTTATAATACAATATGATATCATATTTGATATCATTTGTTAATACAATTTAACAGAAGTCCCCATTCTAGTGTCATTCCAAAATCTGCCTTTTTATTTATTTATTTATTTTGGTGGGTACTTGTGTAAAATGGTGTCTATTGAAATTCATAAGATATTGGTATCAGCTTTGGGCATTAAATACATAAGTTGACCACTAAAAATAGTGCTGGCAAATCGGTTAATCGTGATTAATCGCATCTAACATAAAAGTTTGTGTTTATATCATATATGCATACGTGTATATATATATGTGTGTGTGTGTGTGTGTATATGGACACAAACTTTTAAGTTGTATGCGATTTATCGAGATTAATAAATTTGACAGCACTAACTTAAAAAAAACATTCATTAAAAAGAAGCAACTCTACCTTTTGGCATGTTAAGGTCATAATCTCCAGAGAGATAATCATCCTCATAATTATCATCATCTTCATCCTCATAATACACATTTGTCTCATTGTGGACCTGGTGGCCTGTTGTGTTTGTTTTCTCTAGAGTGTGAAAGAGGTTGACCACTGTTGTTCTGGGTTTGCCACTATCATACCTGTCGACAGAGGCGCCACTGCACACCTTGAGTAACACTGGAACAGAACAAGACACTTTTTATATATCTAAAACACATATTTTGTGTATCTTAGTAGATACAGTAAATATGTAGAAGATAAAAACATGGCAATAAAGCTGATGGTGATTATAGATACGTGTATAATGTTAAGTGTTAAATAAATCACGGAATAAATAGGGAACAAAACCAGTAGGCTAATGTGTCCAAATTGGTTATAATAACACTGAAGCAAGAAATCATTATTTTAAAAGTAAAAAAATCCACTCGTCCTCCTATAAGAACCCCATACCAAGTGACAAATATTGGGCAGGTCCGCGTGCAAGTCAGAACAGCCTATTTTATTAAAAAGCCATTGTTTTAAACACTCACCGAGACAATGGGAGATAAAGATCACAAGCCGCAACTTATCCATATTCCTTTCAAGTACAATCCGAGATATTGGAAGATCAGTTGGTCTCACTGAACCTCCGTGCCACCAGCACCGAACGCGATCTGCACGCAAATGCGCGTGCTGGGGACTGTGTCAAAAGGCTCGTGCTGCGAGCTGGGACCAAGAACGCGCGCCGTTGGTTATATAGACCTAAGACGACACACATTTCCTATTTATGAATCACTGTCCAGCCACACCTAATCAATCACCAGCACAAAAAGCCAAAGCTAATATTGAGGCAGATTGATTCATAATTTGAAAAGTCGTTAATTTGAGGGGATATCACTGATGTTTTATTGTCCAGTAGTTAATAATAAATCCATTTTTATAATGGCAACTAGTTGCTAGGTGAAGATGGTTGACCTACTAGCATGTTCCAAAAAACATATTAAACTTAAACTGGTATGACCAACTCGTAACGTTAGCTGGTTTGGTCATTCTCCACAGGTTTGGAAAGTTGCTATACGTGCTTAAACTGAAATTTTCCAGGGAACCAATATAGTCTAATATTGGTCAAACATATGGTTAAGACGCTTCAAAATGTTATAAAGTTTTCTATCTGTACGCCAATGATTTGTTTTTAGAAAAATCTCAGAAGTTAAAAAGTTTAAAGGCAAAGTTAAAAAGGTCTAAATTCACTGACTACTTTTAAATACATGCATTTGCTTATTTTTTGTAAGAACAAAGAATGTGTTCATGATTAAGTTTATTAAACTTATTTTAATTAACCTCAGTGGGATCACTGGCACCACCTTGTGCCTTAAAAAATAATCTGACAAAATGCAGACATAAATCATGTCATAAGGTGTCAAAATCTACTAATTTGGTAAGTCTTTAAAATATAGTTTATTGTTGGACCTTTACTTTAAGACAAAATAATGTGCATGAAGCAGAGAATACATTTGTGAATGTTTATTTACCATACATATGAGAAGTCAAAGACAGACCAATAGATGCAATTGCGACATCTACAATAATGAAAATTAAAATATTCATGTTGTAAATAGCCAGACAAGAAAAGAAAAACATTTCCAGTTTAAAAAAAAATCAATTTCAACAAAGTTCTTTCCGCATTATAAAAAGTGGAGTTGCAGCACCTCATGCCATGCGAGGCTGGTGTTCTACAGTCTCTGAAGTGAACCATATGTATGGAGGATATTTACAAGCATTACTGGACAATCGCCATGGCTTGAACTCAACGGCTGACCCTTCAACTCAGGAATTGCAGGAAATATAATACTGATTCCAACGTTGAGGTTCAGAGTGCAGGTGGGCAAGGAGTGAATCTGATTCTTCCCATAGTCGTCATCACAAAGAACAAAAAAACAGACGGCCTCAGCAGAATCGAGACAAACCGACACTAAAATATATTATTTTAGATGCATCTACATGCCCCAGCCTCCTCCCATGCCATTCATGCCGACTGAGCCACGGCTGCCGCCATAATAACTGTTGTTCATTCCACCCTGGCTATCTGTTGAGGTACAGGAATACACATGTGAGAACCAGGTAAGTGTGCAAAATTAGAAAATATACATTAAACAATAGTACAAAGTTAAAACGCACTGTAGTCATTGTAGCCTCCCATGCTAGACTGGTTGCTGTACCCTCCAGTGTAGCCTCCACTCATCTGCTGCCCTCCATGCCCATAAGACGACTGGTTTCCTAGAAAGAACAAATATTACACTGTTATAATATTATAATACAAATGCTATACATCTTTAATAAGCACTAGTTAAGTCTCAGCCTCAGGGTCAGCTGCTCTGCTTCAACTGTACAACCATTAAAAGTGTTTAGAATAGAGAATAAGATATGACTGTTGCATGCTGTTCTATTATGATATTAATATCACAGCAAGTTGCCCTTCGTATAGCTTTATATAAAAAGCTAGAGTAGTTGAACTAATAACTTACCCATTCCGCTCATCATCTGCCCCCCGTAGCTCCCATTACTGCCTCCTGCTGTTGAGTTTAAGAATAACTCAACATAACGGTGTTCTGAAAACAAAGAGATTTAAACAAAGACATTAAAGATTTGAATATAAAATTCCCACATTTAACATCAATAACAAAAACAAGTCAGAATACACCTAACTTACGCATGTTTGCTTTGTCCTTTGACATTGCAGCTACTGCATCTTCGTGTGTCGCAAATTCCACATCAGCCTCACCGGTTACTCGCCCATCTGGACCAACCTCAATGTGCACACGCACCGGGTTCAGAGGAGAGAAAAACTGCACAGAAAAAGTGTATTTAACACCCAATTATTATACATTCACAAATTAATTTAATTTTCACATAAAGTCATAAGATCAAGCAAATCAAACTTACATTGTAGATGTCAGGTTCTGTTGCCCTGTAAGGGAGTCCCCTCATATGAACACAATGACCCGTGGTGCTCTGAAAATTACCACCATCACCATAACGTCCATCTGACACTCCTATTTCAAAAAAATAAATAAATAAAAACACACAAGCAAATTCAAAGCAAGTACGTGCTAAATCACAAAAATGTGGCACATCTTCTAAAGAAGCTGGTCTCACCTCCACCGTATCCTCCACGTCGCACCCGGTCAAAAGATCCCCCGCGACTCATGCCATTGTAGCCCCGGCCTCCTCCGCTGGGTCGGTCGTACGGCCCAGGTCTCTGCATGCCCATGCCTTTACGCGGGGGCTCGTAATGTGTCCGCACTTCAGCTCGGCTGCTCTTAAAGATCTCAATATACCTACAAACATACAGATGAGCACTAAGGTGCAATGCATGAACTCATCACAAAACACTCCTGTTCAGGAGTTCAAATGGACTGCAAAACAATAAAACTGGACCTTCACCTGCTCAACATGTATAATATCCATGCATTTGAGAGCTCAATAACAAGTATTATTGATACCATCCATTTCACAGAATTGTCTCCACTTCTAGATTTATAAAAGAACATTGGGGCCTTTTTATTTTATATATATACATTTTCAAATATACCCAGTGCTGGGTAGTAACAGTTTATGTTATCAGATTTAAAACAATAAATACTTGATTAGATGATCACTTTACAAAATGGCAGACAATTCGTAATTCATTTTTTCGCACCATTTTTTTTCTTCTTTTAAATTTTCCTTTCTAAAACTGCAGATTGCTCGTCTATAAATATTTTGACTAAAATATTCCTGTTTTATGGTATTGCATGAGTCAGAGGCCACATAGCATATATTTTTTTAATATTTTATCTTTTTTGTGTTTTATTTGGTTGTTTTTATGGTTTAATTTTGACCCTTTCATCAACTTACAAACCCTCTGCAGTTCCTTCACAAACTCGTTTGGAAAACACTCACGTAATGTTTAATGCACTTTTTTACATTTTTAGTTTTGTTCTCTTTGAAAATTTATATCACTATGGTACAGGATAATCCTATTCAAATCAATGTAATATAAATATGGAAGCAAATTTTTTTTTTTGAGTTAGAGACATTTCATCTAACAATTCCAAGCTTAAGGCTGCACAATAAATATAATTTTAGCATCGATATCACGATGTGCGAATCAGGGAGAGTCACATTGCAGGATGTGCTGGATTCTCGGATTAACTGCAAAGTTTAACCCTCACAGAGTGAAAGCTTATCACTTGCACGCATTTTACATTATCATAGCACACATGCAAAATTATGTCAAAATGCCCATCTCTGTGAGTATCCTCACAAACAGTCACTTATGGCTTACGTGATTGTAAATAATTGAGAAAGGGATGCGTGTCAGTATATTGGATCTGTGCTTTTGGACTTAAAGTGACAGCATCCTAATTTTCCTGCTGCTGTCAGTGTTGTTAATTAAACAACAAAATACCAAGAGAAAATCACTTTTGCAGCTTTAACAAAGAATAATTATATTCAATTTACACAGTGAAGACTATGCAGTGTTATTTTACATGATTTGATTATTCAATTTCTGTACCTGAAAACGGTTAAGACTTACCTGAAAAACAGAGAGCACTGCTTATTTAATTTGTATCTTTGTTCTATTGTATTTATCTATGTTTGCAATTTGTTATTTTCTATGCAGATTCACTCCCCTACAAAATCACCCAATCATTGTGAATGGTTATTTGTTTCCAAATAGAGGTTAAGTAATCTGGTGAAATTATTTTCAAAAAATATTGTAGAAAAACTTGTTTCTTCCAATATTGTGCAGCCCTTTCCAAGCTAATATCTCACAATTCTGAGTTTATATTTAGCAATTTTGACTTTTTATTTCTAGCAATTCTGAGTCTACATATAAACAGAATTGTGGGATATTAAAAAAAGATTGCAATTAACTTTTTTTTTAATTCGCTGGCAAAGCAAGCTCCAGTAGATGAGTTAGGAAAAAAAGTAATCTAAAAGTAATGAAATAGTAGAAAAACCTAAAATGTGTAATGTAACAATCACATTACTACCTGCAATTTTCATGTAATTTGAATTCAGTAATGGACTACAATTTGTAAATAATCTACCCAGCACTGACTATACTTTTAATACTTTTCTGTATCCCAAAATTGCAGAATTCTAAGTATTAAACGACGTTACATTTTGCTGTGCCGTTCATGCATTAAACTAACGCTTACTTCAGTATGACAGTAAACAGAGACCTATTACAGGATCCAGACTAAAATGGTATTCAAACTGGCTGCTGCAAGGCACACGTTTGTATGCTTAAGAATTAGAAAATCCCATGATGCTCAAGTGCACCATTGCTACACACTAAATATGCATTCAGCCTTTTTGAATCCAGACATTTTCTTTCAGCACTGATGACTTCTCACAAATAATCATAAGAAAACAAAACAGTAGGACTCCATCAAGGCCCTGCGAGCCCTCTGATAAAGACGTTTGTATGTCCATGTGGCGTGTGTAAGTTCATGTTGCATACCACTTTGAATGATTACTGTAGTAGGTGTTTACCACATGAAAAACAGCTTAACCATCCAACCATCCATCCCCACCTGTGCCCTATTCTTTCCTTGTGTTTCTTTAGAGCCTTTTCAGCTATATCCTGTGAAGCAAACTGCACGAAGGCCTCCCCCGTACTCCTCCCCTGGAAGTCCACCGGCAATGTTATCCCATTTGGCACGATTTCCAACCCTTCAACCCAAG